ACACACACACACACACACACACACACACACACACACACACACACACACACACACACGTACATCTGACATGCATATATCTAAATATACAATCAATCGACTTGTTTCATTTTGTCACGTTAGTTTATTATCCTAAGTTACTACCTATTCCAATAAATGCTAAAATACATTTGTAGCCCTCCTGTTGCTAAATGACTACAATATGACCGTATATCCATTTGGACATCTTATCTTGACCAACAAATAATATCATTTAAGGATGTAAACATTGTTTTCAATATAGTTTACTTGTAAACATACATCCGGAATACATTCATGTGTGTATGTATGTGTCTGTCTGTGTGTGTGTGTGTATGTGTCTGTATTTTTGTCTATGCTCATATGTAAGATAGTAATCAAAGTTATCAATACATATATGATATTGAAAATTTATAATCTTCAATCATTTTTAATATCATAAATATATTTATTTGTCACGTTCATTGCAATATATAATTTGAAGTATGAAAAAATTGAAAATTAAATATTTGATATTTAAATTGGCAAAATTTAAATATGTAATATTTAAATTAAAATATTTTTTAAAATTAAATGTATGCATATCCCATGTAAAAGTTATGAATTTTCATTTAAGTTTTGTTTCAGTTTAAAAGAATAAAAAGATTGAATTGGTTTTAAAAAAAATAGATTTACTTAAAGTGAATATTATACCATTTTCAATTCAGTTATCCATCATCAATCACATTAAGGAAATTTCAGGTATATTTATCTCATTGTAATTTAATAAAGAGAACAATGTTACAGTAATTCATTACTAAAGTTTACATTTTATGATAAAATATCATTACGAATAATGTTTGTGAAAATTTTGACGAAAATGCTATACGATATTACTATAATTTATTGCTGATTACGATACGGTAGGTTACACATCCATTACTAATTTCAAATATCAGCTAAATTTTTATTGAATTCTACTACACCCTTTAGGTACGAAATAAAATTTTACTGCAAAAATATAGCATTATTCATGTTTACATTTAAAAAAAAAAGAAAAATTGTTTTTCCATGAAAATGTGAAAATTGATTTATTACGGTATTATGTTCATAGCAATAATAATTAACAATGACAGTTAATGATTAGAAGTGATGAAATGATAATTAAATGAATAATGACGGGAATGATATCGAAGAAAAAAATTGATACCGATCGGGAATAGACTAAATTCTAGCCAAAGTAATTACAGTAAGTCGACAATTCTTATTACAAAGTAAATATATATTTTAAAAAAAAAAAAAAAAAAAGTGGAAAGACGGTATGTTATCAGTTTTAATTCCTGAAGAAATGAATTATGAGCAAAAAAATTTCCGGTTTAAGGGCACAAACAAATGAGTGCATCTTACCGTAAAATAATCAATTTAATTGCTTTACCCTTCCAATATATGAAACCGATTCAATACAGGTATTTCCATTGTACTATATTAAAGGTGATGATGTTTCCGGTTGATATTACAAGCTATCTTATTATTTCCGGTTTTTAACTTTTATATAGAATGTGATTTCTTGTACAAACAAAAAAAAAAAAGGTTTGAAATATATCATTCAATGTTATTTTTTACGACAACTTCATTATGCAATTAGTTAACCTTCCCGGGATTTTTCTGAAATTATTGCGATAGAATCATTTTACAAACCGTTTCCAGTTCTCATCTCGCCAAAATAGATTACTAAATTATTTTGCCAATTATATGAATCATATTCTTAATCATAATCATATCATTATTATAGGAATAATATTGATAATAATATTTGAAATAACAAAGTAACAATAGTGGCAATAATAATCATAATTATTTCTTTCGATCAGCTCCCTTTTTCTTTCTCATCCTATGATTCATCATTATTATCATCCTTATCAACATCATCTTCATCATCATTATCACCATCATCGTCATCATCGATAATATTTTATGTGTGACAGATTTGATAATATTGCCATTAGAAGGGGTGAATCTTTGCGCGATAATCGCCGCCGATCAGTTTTCCTGTTATATGAAGCGTGAATCTCAATTAGGTACGAAGACTCCCAAACCTTCCTCATCACATCAACATATTTAATGCATTAATGTTTATCACTGCTACTATGTGAATTTGCATACCAATGAATTAAAATAAGTATTTATTGCTACACATGATGGAATATGATTAGATTGACGATAGAGAATAATAATAATAATAATAATAATAATAATAATAATAATAATAATAATAATAATAATAATAATAATAATAATAATAATAATAATAATAATAATAATAATAATAATAATAATAATAATAATAATAATAATAATAATAATAATAATAATAATAATAATAATAATAATAATAATAATAATAATAATAATAATAATAATAATAATAATAATAATAATAATAATAATAATAATAA